ACACACACACACACACCACAGACACACACACACACATACACACACTCACACACACACACACACACCACAGACACACACACACACACTCACTCACACACACACACACATCACAGACACACACACACAAACACACACACACACACTATTTACTCACATATGCACATACTACTGAGAAGGAAAGAGAGAAAGATAAATGCAAGACTTATTGATTACCTCAGTAAAACCATATACCCAGGAATGACTGCTAGGGAGTAGATGAGACTGGTAATTAGTACCAATATGAAAAAGTACTGCAGCTTGATAGTACAGTCAGGGCCTTTTTTACACAGCCCAAGGACTGCAGATGAGTTTCCTGAAGACCCAATGCAGCTGCAGTTTTGAAACACCTGTCAAAGAAAGCAAAGTCCCATTTAAGGAAGAAAAACATTGGGCATAAATAAACCTTCAATATTTTCAACAAGGCCAGTTAAAACAAAATGGAGCATGTTGGGGCTGGTGTTATGACTAAGAGGAAGAGCACTCATCCATGAGGACCAAGTGGAGCACAAAGTTCATTAAATATTAAATACAGAGTAAAACAGAGGTTAGTTTTCCTCTTTACCTCCCCCCCCCTTTAGTTTTGGTATCTTTGAATTCTATCATAAAATATAAAGGGGTAGATTTAAAATACTGGTACATTTTTTTAAATACATGGAGTAAGTTTGCAAAAAAAAATAATAATCAATTATCCTGAAAGCATACTTTATTTTATTTTACATTTATATTTATTTTCTTGTTTGTTTTGTTTTTCCTGTAGGTGTGTTTACGTGTGTGTGTGTGTGTGTGTGTGTGTGTGTGTGTGTGTGTGTGTGTGTGTGTGTGTGTGTGTCTGTGTGTGTGTGTCTGTGTCTGTGTGTGTGTGTGCCTGTCTATGTGTGAACACATGTGTATCATGGCACACATGTAGAAGTCAGGGGATAAGTTATGGGACTTCGTTCTACTCCTCTACCTTGTAGGTCTCTAGGATGATGTTATGATGGCAAGGCTGGTGGCAAATGCCTTTACTCACTAAGCCAACATTTCAGCCTGCGAATAATTTTTTTAAGACTGTTTCATATGCTTTTTATTTTTACTTTTTTTTTTTTTTGAGCTGAGGATCGAACCCAGGGCCTTGCGCTACCACTGAGCTAATAAATACTGTTTTGTTTTGTTTTGACCCGAGTACTAAGTACTAAGACAGCATGTGTTTCAGAATGCTGATGGAATATTTAGGTGCTTACTAATAGTCAGGTCCCCAAGAAAAAGCGTTTATTTTTAACAATAAAGTCAAATCTTGTTTGAGTTGTTACGTTTCTTAGTCTGAATAAGAACAAAATTTATATTTCACTTTGATTACCAACCAAGTCTGTAAGTATTATAACAAGTTTAAGACAAGGAAAATGCTTAACTATTTCCTGCTAAACCATCACGAGGGATGGCACAGTAGATTGAGTCCTGCACCAGCATGAGGACCGGAGTCCAGGTCCCAGCACACATGACAAAGATGCACGTGTGGAGGATGTGCTCGAAAAACACTGGTGCTCTGAAGATGGGAGCAGGGACTCCCTGGGGATCACTAGCCAGGCAGCCTAACAGAATCGACAAATTCCAGGCCATGAGATCCTGCCTCAGAAGCACAAAGTGGGTGGGACCTGAGAGTCAACAGCTGAGGTTGTCTTCTGACTTAGATGTGCACAAGCACCTGAATACACACACACACACACACACACACACACACACACACACACACACACACACACACACACGACTACAATAAATAAATAAATAAATAAATAAATAAATAAATAAATAAATAAATAAATAAAAGACATTCATGATACCAAAAGATAAGTTTTCTGCCTGCCTCAACTATACAGCTAGTTTGAGGTCAGCCTGGGATTCGTGAGATCCTATCACAAAAGGGGCAGATTCAGTTCAGAGTATTTTTAAGTTTTAATTTTAACGTTTATTTATGTGTATGTTTCTCTGTCTGTGTGTATACAAGCAGGAGCATGTGGGTGTCTGAGGAAGGCAAATGAGAGTGTCAGATTGCCAGGAGCTGGAGTTGGGAGATGCTCCAAGTGGGTGCTGGGAAGCAAACAGGTCCTCTGAAAGACCAGCAAGTGCTCTTAACAGCTAAGCTAGCATCACATCCTATCCAGAGTATTTTAACTCCAAACATTTGAATAATGATCTCAACTGCTTTGAAATTACAAAATAATTTTCAGACTCTATCAAGACTTTACATAATATCTAGAAATTGTAAGGTCAGGTATAAATATATAAAAGAAATTTAGTTATTCATAAAACATTAATTTTTTTAAGGAGGACTAATTTTTGCTTTATAGCAGATGTAGGCTTAGATAATAGCACATATAAGCAAGGCACAGGAAATTCAGCCCAGATCACTGAAAGGGTGTTTACCATGTTGATTCCTGTTCCAACAGACTTCTCACAGCCTGCAAGGCAGGCTGACATGTATGCTAGGCCATTGTCTCCACACACTGGGTCCCATGTTTTAGTTAAGCAGTTACACCTTGTGTTGCAGTCATCAAGGACTATATTCTCCACATACAAAGGCTGCTGGATTCTGAAATGATTGTAAATAATGTTAGGGACACTTAAAAGCTACCCAAGCACCACTTTGTTTCCTTCTCTTCATCTTAGCATGTACACACACACACACACACACACACAAAGAGAGAAAGAGAGACACAGAGAGACTGAGACAGAGAGAGAAACATTTCAGAAATCCTCCAAATATCAATGTGTGGTCTCCGTACTATGTTTTGGCGACACAAGTTATCTGCTCTGGTGGTCACACAACTGCTTTTTCAATTACTTCAGAAACAAACATTCAGTGCCTACCATATAGAAAAATACTGTGATATTACAGTTAAAAATGAAGATGGTAATCTCTCATTGATCTCCATGATGGGAAATAATGAAAGAGGGCTGGGAACAAAATCTGTGTTTCCATTGCTAAGATAGATGCTTCATTTAGCCTAGAAAACAGAGTGGTTTGCGTGACCAGACATGCTGTTCTTAGATATAGAGAACTCAACAATTAGAATGGGATATAAGAGGATAATGTGGGAGTCTAGAGTCTGAATTCACATTCTGTCACTCAAACAGTGTAAAGTCAGCAGGACTGGAGATGGAGTCAGTACATACAACTCTACTTTGGCATTGTGGAAGGAATTTTATGTAAACTCACTTTTCCCCATTTCTATTTTCACATCTAAAATGTGAACAGAACATTACTTTCTTAAAAAGCGATCCAAATCAATAATTATATATAGTTATTTATGATTTTATATTTGAAATTATTCAAATCGTACAATTCATAAGGATTTTGAAAGGAAATTTTCTTTTAATCTTTCTCTCTCTCTCTCTCTCTCTCTCTCTCTCTCTCTCTCTCTGTGTGTGTGTGTGTGTGTGTGTGTGTGTATGTGTGTGTGTCTGAGTGTGTTTCTGTGAGTGAGTGTGTAAGCACACATGTATAATGACAGCATGCATGTTGAGGTCAGAAGATAATCTTCCACCTTGCTGGAGACAGAGTCCCCAGATGTTCACTGCTGCAAATGTCATACTAGCAGGCCCATGACCTTTCAGGTTTTCCTGCCTGTGCCTCTCAGCTCACATGAGGAGTGCTGAGATTACAGACACTCTACCTGCATTCAGAGGAACTATTGTGGTCCCCTTCAGGCTCCCCAGCTGTCAGTCCAGAGTTGATGAGCTCTCACTAGCTTGGGTCAGCTGTCTCTGTGGTTTTTCCCACCATGATCCTGATCCCCCTCTCTCCTATAATCTTTCCTCCCTCTCTTCATCTGAACTCCAGGATCTTGGCCGAGTGCTTGGTTCTGGGTCTCCATATCTGCTCCATCAGTCACTGGATCTAGGTTCTATGATGACAATAAGGGTAGACACCAATCTGAGTACAGGGGGTGGGAGACAGCTGAGTGGCTTGATGTGTTTGTACATTCTCTGGCAATGGGACCAGGACTTACCCCGGGTACACAAACTGGCTTTTTAGAGTCCATTCCCTATGGTGCAATGCCTTACTCAGCCTTGATGTGAGGGGGAGGGTAGGTCCAGCCACAACTCGGTATGCAAGCCTGTGTTGACTACCCAAGGGAGGCCTTACTGCCTTGAGGAAGGACTGGGGTGAGATGAGGGGAGGTGGAAAGAGCGGGAGAAATGAAGCAAGGGGAACAGGGATCAGGGGATAGTATGTAAAAGGAAAGAATTTTTTTTTAAATAAATAAAAAAAAACCTAGATACTCTAGCATGTCAAGCTGTAGGTGGGGTCTGGGGATCTGAACTCAGGTCTGCCTGCCTGCTCAGCAAGCACTTTAGCACTGAGTCATCTCCCCAGCCCTTTGAAAGGAACCTGCAAGTTATGCTTTATTTCATTTTAACTGATTGGTTGGTTGTATAATTGTCCCCTAAGCAAAGTTTTAAATTTCCCATGCTATGCAAAATATGACCAGACATTCCTTAAAATGCAAAATCTAAGTCTACAGAATACATGAGATATAACTATACCAGGGACATATATAAATATATTCATTTGCTGACACACCCACCATGTATTTGATTCTATTATGCTAAAATTGTGCCTATTGTAGAAACCTCTGAAGGCTCGCTGGCGTGTATTGTGTATTCAAATGATATCTGTTTATGGGAATATAAAATACATGGATGATTTGGCTGCACAGCTCTAGATTATTTCCTTTATTACACTTTAAAGTAGACTAGGATTTTACCATGACGACCACCCATATGCATGTGAAATCATAAAGTTACTCACTGGTCACCCCCTGACCTCTTTAATAAACTTATAACTTATATAAGATGCATGGATGGGAGAAAAATACAAGATGGCCATGGATCACTACCATTAAGTTATAGTAAAATGATCTGGCCATACAGAATCCTTGAAGAAAATGGACTAGCATTCTAAAAATATTATGATCTTCATTAGGAAACAACATACCCATCATAAGAGGTAGTTAAACCAGCAACTGGAAAATTATCACAGGTCATTAAGAAGTAGAAGAAAGATAGAAGGAATTCAGTCAGGGATAGGCAGAAAGCTATGTATGCCGCTTTCTTCATAGAAGTCTTGAACTTCTTCATAATCAGGCCACCAATTACATATCCAACAAATATTGGAGGTAAGGTATAAAGACCTATAAATGCAAGTGAAAAAGTATTTTTAAAAGACAGCAGAAAAATAAATGTTATCAATTTGTCTCAAATATCTTACTTACGAAATTATCTCTAATATACAGTGATCCTAACCCCTACTCATTCAAATATTACTATTGATTATAAAGAGGTTTTCAAATGTTCTATAACATCACTTTAAAAAGTATTAGCATCATTTAATCATTTTCAGGAGGTTGTAAACACCTGATAAGCATCACATATATGTGTATACACACATACATAAATTCATGCATGCACATATCTATGACATTCTATTTTTCATGTATTTTATCCCTCTGTTTGGTGGGAATTTGACTCAGCTCCAGGTGATGTTGAAAGTAGTTGCTGAGTCCATGCTTATCAAGTGTAGAACATTTTGTGCATTGTTTATACTGCCCAGCAATATGGTGGTATTTTATTAATACTGAAATGTGATTTTCATTGTATGTTAATCAATAAAGTTGCCTGGGGGCCAGAGCTATTAGAGCCATAGCAAGAGTGTGGTGGTGGTGGTGGTGGTGGTGGTGGTGGTACATGCCTTTAATCCCAGCACTTGGTAAAAGAGCTAGGTAGATCTCTGTGTGTTCAGGGATACAGCCAGCATTGGAGACATATGCCTTTAAGGCCTGGAGGGCTGTACTTACAGGCAGTGACAAGGCGGTCATGTGTTTGGGTTTACAATCAATGAGAAGGCAGAACAGAAAGACTATTTAAAGACAGACACACAGGATGTATCTCTCTTTCAGGGAGGTAGGAGCACCATAGGAGGTAAGATTTTAGCTCTGAGCTCTGACCTCTTGGCTTTCTCTTTTTTTTTTTTTTTTTTTTTTTTTTTTTTTTTTTTTTTTTTTTTCGAGACAGGGTTTCTCTGTGTAGCTTTGCGCCTTTCCTGGATCTCACTTGGTAGCCCAGGCTGGCCTTGAACTCACTGAGATCTGCCTGCCTCTGCCTCCCAAGTGCTGGGATTAAAGGCGTGTGCCACCAACGCCCAGCTTCATTTCTTATTTTAATAAGACGGTTGGTTACATCTACACAGCATTCTTCCTCTCTGAGTCTCCTTCCTCAGCAAAAATCAAAGAAAATAAAAGAAAAAGGAAGAGAAAATCTTGGCTAGGTTGCATTCATACACCAGCACCAGGCTTGGAATAATCCATCCATCCTTTGAACTCCACACCATTGCATTTGATTTTATACATCTAAGGGTAGAGACTAGAATTTGGACTTTCAGAGAACCTTATTATTTCAGATAATGTGGATGGTGGTAGCCTATGATCATCAGTTATCAAGAGGGGCACACCCATGTCTGAATGGAATGGCGGGGGTCGTAGAGCCAGCACAGCTGCTTGACGGGGATCCAGCAGGGCTGAGCCGCATGATGACTGGGGTGTCACCTTTGGTTTTCATCTCCACCTGTTGCATACTTGGGCAATTCTGGTGTTTGTACACTTTGAGGATCTTGGGTTGATGGAAAATTCCTTGTGGATCATTTACACCTTCCCCCAGGAATGCTGCTTCTGAGCTTATCCAGGAGAGTCCTGAACATACTATCTCTGTCTCCCCTCACTTTGGGGGAGATATCCTTGTCTACTTGGGGGGGTCTTCCTTGCGCCTTGGAGGTTGTGATACATGGAGTAGCTACAGGACTCTTCATGGGGCTATGAGACATTCTTGAGACATCTGTCCCTCTACTTGCACAGGAACAAGATATTCAAAACAAGGCAGATTTGAAAAGGTCAACAAGATTCACTGGGCTAGAGGAACTGTCCACAGTTGAGATTGCAGGGCTCTTCCCACGGTGTGCTTAGACAATTACGTGGCATGCAACTCTGCTCTACATAGAGACATGTTGGTGAGCAAGGTGTGGAATGAAAGGATGATGAAAGTATGAGGTTTTGGGACCTCCATCTCTTGGAGGTTGGCTCGTGCAGAGCCACTGTAGTGTGATATGACCAGGAACAACAGAATGCCAGGATTAGACATATAGACAAATTCTATAAGGATATAAATGTGAACATTGATTGTAATAACTGCAGCTTTAGCCTGAGGGTTTTTCCTGAGCACTCTGACCACTGAGAGTAGATAATACATTGCTTGGGACATGGCAGGATGCCCAGGGTGGTTGAAGATTTTGTTTTGGTCTAGTGTCCTTGAAGTGGCCAAGGCAGCCAGCCTGAGCACAGGCTGTCATGTGGCTCTAGATTCTCAGGAATTGGGTTGTGGGATTGATGAATAGGAATGATAACTCTGTTTATTGATGATGTCAAATCTTGAGAGAAGGTGATTGGAAATGATAACTCTGTCCTGCCATAGTTTATTAATGATGATTAAAAGATGAGCAAAAGGAAGTGAAACACATGGCCAAAAACAAAAATGATATGATCTATGTTTTGGAACATGATGAATTTATCCCTGCTAACTAAATTCTGTATAAATAAAGAAACACTCTGGCTGCTAGTCAGTTAGGCTGCAAGATTCTCCCAACCACCATGGCCTGGCTCACTTCCTTCTCCCACCGACTCCTTACATCCTGTACAGGAACTATCCACCGCCAGAGATGGCTCCCGGCACAAGAGTAAAATGAACCCAGAAAAAAAGTCCAAATTTGGGTAGGATACCTGGATTTAGTGTACTAATAAGAAAAGCCAAGTGTGGTTGCACAGAATCCTCAGACCACCAGAGAATCAAGCAGGTGAATTAGAAGTAATAAGTAAGGCAAGAATTGAAGTACTCAAGTAAAATCTGGAAGTAAGATACAGAAACCCAGTGAGTTAACTCTGTATTCCTCTTTGAATTAACAAATTTCTTCTTGAAAATTGACTGATATGAGCATCCCCCAATATTTCCATAATGATGACAATTTTCATTCAGATTGGAGAATAGAGAGGATATTTCTGGCCTCTTCCTTTCCCTGTCCTTTCTTGGTTTCCCTGGAGACTACAGAAAGTAAATTTATAAGAATAGCCCAGCAGATTTCAATTCTGTTGTAGTTTACTATTTACATTATCTTACTGTTTCTCTTATCCTTGGGACTCTGTTTGTCATGTTCCTGTGGGAGGGGAAGTGCTATTGAAGAAAAAATGAGACTTCATACCTATGAGAAAGACAATCTCTGCAGTAGATTTTCCATACTGCTGTTCCAGGTATTTAGGCATGAAGGTAACAATAATGACAATTGCGTTGAGGTGGAGCACACTTAGGAGGATGAAAAGCATGTAAATCGAATTGCAGAAGAGGCTCTTCATGAATGGCAAGAAATCTGAAACAAGAGTGCCAAGATGATCAAGCTAACTTGGCCTTGCATGTTGTGTCGTGTTCTAAAATCTTCTCACAGATTCTGTGGGGTAGCGCAAATGCATTTGATAGATAAATTTTACCTCTTTGAGTATCATTGTTTAAGTCACTTCTACAAGTTAGTGATACAACTGCCCATATAAGATTCAACCCAATTATAAAGCAAAATTGTAAAGCAAAGTTGTAAAGAGATGGAATCCTGTCTGTGGCTGTACAAATTCATTTGCTTTTCTCTTTTCTTTCTGTTAATATCCTGTATTCACTAGAGAGTGACTAGTCTGTTCTCTGGAATCTGTAAGGGACTCTCTGATGAAGTTGAGTTCAGACACTGAACTCCTTTGTACAAGAACAGATAAGCTAAAAGCTTAGGAAGTCTCAGGAATCTTGCTGAGTCTCAACCAACCACGGCATCCCTGCAGCACTTCACAATAGAACATTCATTCGAAGCACCTACTGATATTTTTAAACATCTCAACACAAGGGTCTCACTGTAAGGAATGCTGACTCACTTGGTGTAAATAAAGCTCCAACTGATATAACCAGAACTCCTCCCTGTTTAAAAAGCTGAAGGTCAGTTTTATAGCCTGTCTCTACTAAATGGATTAGATCCCACTGAAAATAGTTTGACTAAAATTCACACTTAATAGTCACTTTCCTTTTCCTGTTTTGGTGATTTGAAATAAAATGCCCCCCATAGGTAGTGGCACATAGGGAGATGTGGCTTCATTGGAGTAGGTGTGGCCTTATTGGGGGAAGCATGACACTGTGGAGGTAGGCTTTGAGGTATCCAATGCTCAAGCTACACTGAGTGTGACACAGACTGCTTCTACAGCCTGCAGATCAAGATATAGAATTCTCAACTTCTTTCTAGTTCCATGTCTGATTGCATGCCACTCACTATAACAATATGTTTTAAGCCTCTGAACTGTAAGCGAGCCCCAATTAAATGTTTTCCTTTCTAAGAGTTGCTATGGTAATGGTTTCTCTTTTCAGCAAAGGAAACCATATGTAGCATGAATCTTAAAAGGTCTTTATTAATAAAAACAACTCCAGGGCTAGGTATTGGGATGAATGCTGGAAGATCAGAGAAGCAGAACAAGCCACAGCCACCTCACCTTGCCAATTCCTCACTGATCCTGTTTCCTCGGACTGGATGACTCTCAGCTGAACTGTACTGCTCAAAAGACTAAAAGCTTAAACAGCTCTAGCTCCTGGTCTTCAAGCCTTAAATACCTTTCTTCTTTCTGGAATCACTCCCTGGGATTAAAGGTGTGAGTCATCATGCCTGTCTGTTTCCAGTGTAACTTTGAACTCACAGAGATCCAGACAGATCTCTGCCTCTGGAATGCTAGGATTAAAGGTGTGTGCTACCACTGCCTAACCTCTATATTTAATATTATAGCTGTTCTGCTCTCTGACCCCAGATAAGTTTATTAGGGTGCGCAGTATTTTGGGGAACACATTATCACCACAACCATAACTAACACAAGTTGATACCAGGGATGGGAGTGTTGCTGTGATGCAATAGACCATGTTTTGGTTTGGAGGAATATGGATTTTAGGATTGGAGATTATAAAAGCAAATGAATGATATAAATTTGGATTAATGGGCCATCTTAGTAGGAACATGAAAGACAGTGGTGCTAAGGGTTTTGAACTATGGGGGCCAAGCTCAAGGGGTTTCAGAGAAGAATTTTAGTATATTATCTAGAGATCATGTGATAGATGGTGAAGAATGTGGCTGCATTTTGCCCTTGTCCATAGAATCTGCCTGAGACTAAAGTGAAGAGATTTGGATTAATTCTGTTTGCAGAGGAAATCTCAGTACAACCTAGTATAGACTCTGTTCTGTGCTAATTAGTGTTAACTCTCAGGAATATTTATGATGAAAAGGAACAAGCTGAGCAAGTGAGAAACACAAAACATAGATTGCAAGAAGGGGCTCCTAAAAGTGGAAAGGGGCTAAGTCCTGTGCTCTAGGAGATAAACAGATAAAGAAATGGTGTAGAGGGAGTAGTGACCTCAGGACAACAACCCACCCAGCTAATCTTCCAACTTGTGGAAAGGAGTTAAAGAAAAACTTACATAAACTTGTGATGGTACACACCTTTATCCCAGCACTCAGGAGACAAAGGCAGGGGGATCTATGAACTTGCGGCCAGCTTGATTTTCAGATTGAGATTCAGGATAGCCAAGCTCATGTAGTGAAGGGAACCACTGAGGACAGAAAGCTGGATATGATGTAATTGAATGAGGGAGGAATGTTCCAGCCTCAGCAAGCTGCAGTACTTGGCAGCTTCGGCCATGTGGTTCTGGTTTTAGAGTCAAGGATAGAAGAAAGGGGTTATAAAATCTTCCTCTACATTTAAGGAAAGCATCTGAGACCAGGCATGTGTCAGTGGTATCCCTGCATGGAGGTCTGGAGAGGCCATTACATGCAGCTATGGAGTTAAAGCCTGACTGCCTTGGAGACCCCAAGATGTTGGAGATATCAGAGTAATGGAATACTTGTCAAGGAAAGCTGCTAACAGGGAGTTGAACCAGCCCAAAAGAAGGAAGTGTGTTGCAGTCAATAAAGCTGAAAAGAGTTGAAGATCTGAAGAGAGCTTTTACATAAGACATGGAGATTCAGGCTTGGGAGTTTACCCAGTTGGTTTTCAATCTTGCTTTGTCCCATATTTCCTGACTACCCTCCCTTTCCTACCTTTCTGTATGGCCTGTTCCATTGTTTGTTGAAAGTATGTGATCTGATTGTTTATTTTGATTTTACAGGGGATTATAGTTAAGAGATTGCATGAATCTCAGAAGAGACTTTGAACTTAATTTTAAATAAGTTTAAGACTGATATAGACAATGGGGACTTTTGAAGTCACACTGAACTCATTCTTTGTATTGTGTGATATTGCTACAAGTCTTTGGGGGCCAGAAAGTGGAATGTGGTAGTTTGAAAGAAAATGGTCCCCATATGGAGTGGTATTATTAGGAGGTATAGGTTTGTTGTAATAGGTGTAGCCATGTTGGAGGAAGTAAGTTCCTGTGGAGGTAGGTTTTAAGGTTTCCTATGCCCAAGCTACACTGGATATGACACCAACTGCTTATGCTGACTGGGGATCAAGATGTAGAACTCTCATCTCCTTATCCAGCATCATGTCTGCCTGCATGCCACCTGCCATGACAATAATGTTCTAAACCTCTGAGTTGTAAGCTAGCCCTAATTAAATGTTTTCTTTCTAAGAGTTGCTGTGGTTTTGGTGTCTCTTTACAGCAATAGAAACCCTAATCAGAACATCTGCCTTTATGTTTTCTGTCTTGATTTTCTAATTTTATATTATCCTTAATAAATTGCCTAAAATTTCTTTTAGAGTAAAGTATTGAGAAGGTACCATTTAGAAGTAGAGTCAGAGCAGTTTAATAAAATGAAGCAAACTCTAGTAGCAAAATTCCTCTTCTTGAATGAGAGATTTGCAGCCAGACTTCTTGGGAGCTTATGAATTCACCCATATATATTGATATATCTGTCCTAAAGGAGTCTCCACAAATCACTTTTTTTTCTGTATTTCTTATATTATGCTAAACAATTTCCTAGTTGTAAAAATCAGGCTGATCTGGCATGCCAAACAGCATAACAATCAGTATTAGCCTTTAAGGAGAATTCTTAGCATGACCATGAATCTAAGAAAGTTCAAGCCTCTGAACTACCCCCAAGTGCCCCCCAACCCCTACCCATATCCCCCCCTCCACTTACCATGTTCCAGGCCCCAACTGGGGCACAGACCCTCTGCTCTACCAAACAATGTTCAAGCTGACAGAAGATCCACCCTCCAACTCAGACAGAGACCCTTATTCAACCACAGGCCACAGTGACCAGAAGAACAAAAGTATTAACAGAAACCAAGGAACAAAACACCCATCAAACAAAGACAAACTCAGAAATTGGCACCTAGATCCATCATTACCCAAACCTAGATGCCTAGATGCCACTGTAAGAAAACAATCAAAAACAGCCAAGACAATATGTCACCAGAGCCCAGCTATCCCAGTACAATAAACCCTGAATATTCCAACACAGCAGAAGCATATTAAAATGACCTTAAAAGCAATTTTATAAAGTTGATTGATGTTCTTAAAGAGGAAATCAATAAATCCCTTAAAGAAATTAAGGAAAAGATTAAAAATAAATAAACCAACATTTGAAGGAAGTGAATAAAACTTTTCAAGACCTGAAAATGAAAATAGAAACAATAAAGAAAACACAGAGGGAATTTTGGAAGTGAAAAATCTAGGTTAGCAAACAGACACTACAGATGCAAGCATCACCAAAAGAATATAAAAGATGGAAGAGAGAATCTCAGGTGTTGAAGATATGATAAAATAAATTGATACATCAGTCAAAGAAAATGTTAAATTTAAAAATTTCCAGACCCAAACATCCAGAAAATCTGGGACACTATAAAAAGACCAAACCTAAGAACAACAGGAATAGAAGAGGGAGAAGAATCCCAGCTCAAAGACCCAGAGAATATATTCAACAAAATCATAGAAGAAATTTTGCCTAACCTAAAAAGGAGATGCCTATAGCTTACTGAACAACAAATAAATTGGAACAGAAAATAAAGTCCCCCCCCTCAGCACATAATAATCAAAACACTAAACATATGAACAAAGAAAGAATATTGAAACTATAAGTAAAAAAAAAAAAGTAAGCTATAAAGACAGACCTAATAGAATTACACCAGACTTCTCAATGGAGACTCTAAATGCAAGAAGGGCCTGGACAAATGTGCTGCAGACTCTATGAGACAATAGATTCCACCTAAGACTACTTTAATCATCAAAACTTTAAATCACCATAGAAGGAGAAAGCAAGATATTCTATGATAGATTCAAATTTAAATAATATCTACCCACAAATTCAGCCCTACAGAAAGTACTAGAAGGAAAACTCCAAAACAAGGAAGTTAACTA